ACTCCCCACTCCCCTAGCCCCCCCTCCCTCTGACAGCTCTAGGCAACCAGAAATCCTTTCTGTCACTATAGATTTGCTTATTCTGAAAACTTGCAAACTTTTAACAGATGTACTTGCTGGGAATGTCAGAGAGGGGTTTTTTTGGTTTTTGTTTTTTTGCGGCACGCGGGCCTCTCACTGTTGTGGCCTCTCCCGTTGCGGAGCACAGGTTCCGGACGCGCAGGCTCAGCGGCCATGGCTCATGGGCCCAGCCGCTCCGCGGCATGTGGGATCCTCCCGGACCGGGGCACGAACCCGTGTCCCCTGCATCGGCAGGCGGACTCTCAACCACTGCGCCACCAGGGAAGCCCAGAGAGGTTTTTTATATTGAGGAGTTGGCAAATAAAACAAAAGAAACTTTGTGGTTAGTGCCAGGCAATAAGGTCTTGACTTATCTGGCTAAATCCTTAATTGTTTCACATTTCCGAATGCAATAAAATTTTGCATCTGAACTTCTATTATCCTTATTTTTGTTACTCAATTTTACTTTAGCCCTGCACAATCAATAAAAAGGAGGCATCCTCAAAGTACTACCGTTCAAAAGCAATTGATTAGGAAAACCTATATTTCAAATTCAGTAAACTTAAATTTCTAGTCCATTTCTTTCATTTTTTCCATTCTATCCAATCAGTACTTGCCAAACATGACTATCCTTTCCAGAAATGAGGCATTTACATCAGAAAACTTTTGTGTATATGCTATTTGCAGTTGAATACCATAAGCAGTTGATTCAAGCTTGCCATCTGTTTTTTCTAAATCTCTAATATGAAACATACTTCCTTAAAATTACACCTATTCAGAAGAGTTTTATGAAACAAAACTGCCTCTCTTCTGATTGGCTTTGCTTTATTCTTTTACAATAGTGGTGTAGCATAACACATTAGTAGGAACTTTCAATTGGTATACATTTTAGCTGCCAACATCAAAATTTTTTTTAAAGTACATAGAACCTGAATATAAAAACTAGAACCTTCTACCCAAGATATCATATTGATATCTACTATTTAGTATACTCCTCATTAAAACAATCTCATAATGTCTAATAAAATATATAAATTTTATTTAAATTTACATTTAAAATCCTATTTACATCCCCAAATACTTCTTTTAATCTTTCTTTTAGTAAATATGCTCTATACACACTAGAAAATAACTGTTTTTATCTGCATTGTGCTAAATACGAGGATGTGATAGAAAATGCATCATTTTGTATTTGAAAGCTTTCTCCAGTGGTTTTGTCATTTGTAATTGCTCCTTTGGTTTGCCATGCTCTGTTGGACTTCAGATTCATTGCTCCAAGTGTCACCAATAGTCTATTCCATTGCTCTCTTTGACATGACACAGTAAGTTTAAAAGGCAGGATAGTGTTAGACAAAGATTGAGATATTAAAATATCCATGGTAACTTGAAGAGAAAGGTAAGGAAAATTAAATTAATAAATCAACAGGATAAGGCAAGGGGATATGTTTGCTTTAAATAGTCTTTAAATAGGACTCGGTGAGAGAAAAAAATGTTTTGAAAAAAAGGTAGAAGAAATAGAAAAGGAGAAGAGTGTACTGTATGGTTCAATTTATGAACTTCTAGCACTGGCAAAAATCATCTATAGTGATAGAAGTAAGAAAGTGGTTGCCTGGAGTTAGGGGGTGAGGGTGAGGGTGACTACAAAGGAGCAGGAGGACAGAAACATTCTATGTTCACTGGCAATTACACAGGTGTGTATACCTTCATCAAAACTGATCAAACTATATTTTAAATATTACACTTTATTATATGTAAATTATACTTCATTAAAGGTATAATTTACATATAATAAAGTATTATTTACATATAATAAAAAGTATAAAAGATTTTTTAAATGTCAAAGTGGGCAGTAAAGGGTAACTTTTGGTTTGAATGTGGTCGTGTTTTGATCCTGAATGAAAGATGACCCTTCTCCATGTCTTTCCAAAGTACATTCAGCTCTTTTGTAATGTTAGCATTTACTCATCAACCCTGGATTGAGCTGGCACTTTAATAGCTCTTAGGCACATTAAGATAGGCATTTCTTTGATAGACATTCTACTCTAAATGCCTGCTTTTTCCCCATTATTTAAACTGAGGGGAAAAAAAAGCAACGAACTCATCCATTAAATATTCACAGAGTTCTTAGGACTTTTAAAGTACAATTTTGAATTGAAAGTACTGTTTTATAATATCCTTTTTCAGGGTAGGCTAAAAGCAAAAGAACAATACTTTTGCAGGAAAAGCAGGATAAAATCTGTCTTGAACAATCACAAAATTGCCTTTATTGTCACTTTATAAATCAATTATAAATAGCTTCAGAGGTCATGGGATTGCACATATGAGATTCAAAAATATCCTATGCACTATTTTTGTAGGAGGGAATTGTATGGTGTTTGGATTGATATGTAGAGTGAGGTTGTTTTTTTCTATGTAGAGTCACTAGCCTGCAAAGGAGAAAAATCTATAAAAGTCATGGGGGAATTTACAAAAATAGCTACTCAGCAAGATGGATAGAAACTTGAAATGACAGAATGTTGATAATAAAATATATTTTAGGCTTATGTATAAATGAGAGAAAAAGACGGGAAAGGAGAGTGTATGATAGAGGCAAAACATTAATATAAAGAATGTCATGGTTGGGGCAAATCAAGTAAGGCTAAAGAGAGACAGAAATTGAGAAAAAAATTTAATTTCCCCTAGGGTATTCCAGACTTCTTCAAAATTAATTAAAATTTTTAAATGTACACTGAAATGTTAGAAGCATCAGAAAATATATTTTCAGTTGATGATTTTGAAGAAATCGTTTTAACTGTCATATTGGGTTTTTTTAATGAAGAAACAGAAATGCTCCATTATAAGATATCTCAATCCTTCCCCAAGGGGTGGAGGTGGGAACCTGCAATAAATAAATCCTTCATGAATAAATGGCATAACCACAATCACAGCTCACATTGTTCTGACTGCAATAGTCACAGTTAACCACTAGGGGGCTGTAATTCCATTGGCAGCAGTTCTCCGACTACGAACGTTTCATTCCCTGCAAGGGTACTTGTACTGGTTGGTGAAATTAAGTGGGCGCTACAGCAGGCAGAACAGGTTATTACTGTGTATTAAAAGGTTTTATGCTTTACTGCATTGCTATGTATAATTGTTATTGTATAGACTAATAACTTGGCCACCAACTTCATCAAGCATGGAGTCTCATCATTGCTCCAAGTTGGCTATTAATTTTGTACCTCAGCTTCTTGAAACATACTAGGTAGAACCAGTTTTACATCCCTTTTCATGAAGAAATTGTTTTTATATACTATAAGTCCCCTACCATTTCAATTAAAATAGAGGTTTAATGTGATCATGTGTTCTCACATATATATTTCAATAAATCTTTGTATTATTTGGAGCTGTAAAAGAGATAAGAAAATCCTGGTTCAACTTTATTTTATAACATTAAATGTATTTTCTGAAATTTAGATTAAAATAGCAAAGCTCTTATCCAACTTGTTTATTACTAATTTGAATTCAGAACTATTTTTTTTATTTACTGTCATAAGGAATGAAAAATATAACAATTTGTTCTTATAGTCCATTGCATCTTGGATGATTAAAGGGGTAATTACATTAAATTATTTAAATTGTGGCCTTAAATTTTATCACATAAATATTGTATACTATGCTTCAAACATGCTAACTTATATTGATGATTATGAGCTAATAAAATATTTTAATGTCTTCAAATAATATGATAATTAACATTTCATATGTATTTCTCATCACATGAGAACTGGTCTTTAAAGCACACCATTCTACTTACTTGGCTGAATGAAAGAATTAGCTTTGTAGGGGAGAAAAATCTTTTCCTCTACCCTGTTGGGTTCTATTCTTGAGGCTTGCAAATTAAACTGACAAATGAGAGATTAAAAGCAGTAAAAGGTTTATTTCACATGTATATGGGAGCAACAAAAGAAAACAGCTGGCTTGTTTAATGGTTCAAGTTAAAGGCATATATACCTAATTTAGCAGGGAGAAGGGAAGGGTAAGGAATGGCTTCTATGGGAAAAACAAGTAAGTTTCATTTGGAAAGACAGATGGGTTTTTAGGAGAACAGACAGGAGATAAGATTGTGGTAATGTTTGTCTATACAGGTATGAGTGGTCTTTACATCTTCAGAGCCATAAAACTCCCCTGGAGAAGGGGTTTATGGTAGCCTCATTACCCAGAAGTTGCTGTTTTTAGTCAGATAAGGGAAGTTCCAAAGTGGCTTTTTTTCTGCATCTATTGAATCTCAAAATGTCTTCAACTTAAAATAATCTGTATACCAACTCTGTGGGGGCTCTAAGTGGGTTCCCACAGCTTTATATTTTAAAAATCTTTGTATTTAAAAGTTTGGGTCATGTTTTATGTGCTTTGGGAAACTTCTTATGCTTAAAACATGTTAAATATTAATGTTGTTATACCAAATTAATTTGTCCTACTGCAAAAATGTAGCTAGCTAATATTTGTTTTAATTTTGTTTCCACATCCCAAAATAAATACTGTCAATAGATACTTTTAAAATAATTGATACTGAAATGGTGATATTTCAAATGCTATTTCCCCTTCCAGCTTCCAGTATCATTTTTATACCTATGGGTAAAATAGCATTTAACTACTCCTGGTCTGTAATTATTTTATGTGAAATTATGTTTTAACTTAATATTTGACTTAGAATTTTGCTGATTCATTTATAATACTTAGCTGATATTTAATTTCTTCTTGAACTGAAGGACTGACACTGATATACATCCTATACTAATGTTTGTTTTTTTTTAAATTCATTTTGTATAAATGAGACTGTCTTTATTCTGGTGCTAATGGATATCAGCCTCATTACTTTTCAGTTATGCCTTATACGTGAATAGTGTAAATAGTTACCTTACTTATAGAGTTCTTATTGCATTTTTCTAAATGTTTGCTTTTAGGGTTGTCAGCCAATATCCATGAGCATCTGTAGGCCAATGATCACCGTCCTTCAAAAATAATTGTAAGTATACCCATAAACATGCCCGAGGTCTCTTATTTGCAATAATATTCAACCATTATATTTAGGTGATTCCTATTATTTAGCTAATTTAGACCTACCTCTGACCTAGTAAAACATTTGCCATTAGTGACTTACCATATCTGAAGAAGAATATTATTTAACTGGTAAATGACATTTTAATGCCACCTTAGAAAAGGTCTCAGTCTATCTTATTACCAAATAATGTGATCAACAGACACCCTTGCCAAAGTGTTAACCATCACCTGACTTTATATTAAATATATTTTAAAAAGATAGCCTAAGAACAATTAAGTTACAAAATATAAATTCCCCATTTTCTCCTTAAGAAACAAACTCTTATATCCAAGATTGGGGCATAGGAAATCCAGTTATTATTTTCCTATTATAAATTTTACAAAACAAACCTCTTGAAAATATTCCTGGTGGATCGACCTGAAAATCTCAGGAAGAATAAGAGGGAAAACTGAACTTTGTTTCTCAAAAGGGGATATCAAGTTATAAATGCTGAAAAACACTGCTCTGGAGAATGGACAACTCAGCATTCTATAGGCTTCCTGAGCATGATTATTTGACTGGGTAAAATATATTACAACTTAGGTAAGGTGGGTCAACATATGGTGTCTTATTTTAAACTCCAAACTGCAGAGGGGATTCTCAATTAAATTTGAGTGTTCTCAGAGTCATATACATATATTTAATACCACAAAATGTTTTTAGAATGATAGTTTTGGGGGAAGAACTGATATGATCGTGGAGGTTAACTCACTTTGACAGTAAAATTTTAACAGACTCATTTAGTATAAAATTAATATATACTCAATATATAAACGAAATTAAGTAATACAAAAATAGAGAGTGGAACTCTATCAAAATTGGAAAGAGATTAGGGAGGGAATAGGGTTGGGAATGTCTGTTATATGCATTATTGATAATCAAAAAATAGAAGAGAATGGTGATTTTACATCAAGACAGTTGCATCAAAATGACTGTATTAAAATGTACCAGTAGTTAGAATGGCGACCATTAAACTGTCTTGCTTTGTTATTTAATGAATCACCATTTACGATGATGACAAAGGTTTTACTTCCTTTGTTAAGTATGTATTGAAAAAGTTATTGAAAGCCAGCTTTCCAAAGAGAAAAAAATGAAATTTAAAAAGTGTAAAATATAAAAATTGAAAGAGCCCCAGCAGCTCTCCTCAGAGTGCACAGGAAGTCACTCATTATAAGTTTGTGAAGATCCTAGCTTGCCTGCAAATATTTTCACCGTGTTGGAGAAATAGGTTAAGGTGCACATGCAGGTAAATTTACATTCTCAAGCTTCAAACTGTGCTCACACAAGGCCATCTCACATAAATCAATAGCTTCATAAGCCTTGCCTTAAGACCAAGTAAAGACCAAGGTAGTAAAGACCAACGTCAGCCTTAGCAGAATGTGACGTAAGTCAATTTTATTTTTAGTATCTCCCTTTCAGCACTATTCCATCCTTACCATATTGTCTCCATTATGATTGCTCCTTGCTCTTCTCCCAGGCCTGTGCACCCCTCTTTGTACACACACCCGCTGACATCTTGCTCTTATCCAGCTTTTAATTGGAGAAGATCTGATACACAAATTCATCCTAGGGTGGCAATACCTAATAAGTCCTATCCCATCCAGAGAGGCATGTTTTAACATTGAAAATGTGGCTCCAACAACTGAATTTCTTGATGGGCTGAAAGAGAAAATGTGCCCCAAATCTCATCACGTGGGTATGTAAGGTTGTTGCCTACTTCACTTCTCTGAAAGGCTGGCCTTGTCAGGGCATGTTAGTGACATGAAAAATATATGTACAACCTGCTTAATATAAAGGTTAGAGACTGGTTATTTATGGTAAATAATTTTGTTAATGTTAAATGTGTTAATTCTCACTGTATATAGAAGAGTACCAAGAGTTATGTTATAATGTATAATGTATATGTGTACATTCCAAGTCTTTAAAATGATATTTTCCAAGTATTTAAAATGTTGGGTACCTGGTGATTTCTGTGGCTATTTTAGCTATATAAGATTCAATTGATCTTAAAAAATAAGTCAGTTGACCTGATTTGTCTCCAGCTGTCATTCGAATTTAGTAAGACCTTCCCTAAAGCCCTACTTATGCTACCTGTGCTACTGTGAAATATGTATATCACAGTCAAGGTAATAATTTAGGTAATGTATTCAAAGTCTCCTATGAAAAATGATCAGTTGGACAACTGTGCTTCTCCCGAGCTGGATAAGGTTTGTAATATCAGTAAGTATCAAAAGTAAACATTATCTTTTTTCTGTAAAGCCATATTAGCATTTAAAGTTTCTTCTCAGAAAACGCTAATGTAATGAAGAAATGGTGTACATACATTGATTCTACACTGTCATGGTAGGATTTATACTTGTCGCTCTCTTGGCACATATATTAACAATTTAAGAATTTTATCTTCTATCTTTTAAACTTTTATTTATGTGGCCTTCTATTGCTAAGAATAAATACAAATTCACTTAGAATTTTTTTTCAGTATGAGTTCTTTGATATATAACTGAGTGTCTATTATTGCAGAGTTTTTTCTCTAGATGATTAAATTACTTTAGTTAAAACCTAAGTAGACTATAACAAAAATCAAGTATTACCTACATTGATAGACAATTCCATTATTTTCACTTTGCAGTGTATTGTACTTATTTGCTTTATTCACAAATAGTTTAATTTCTTGGATTTGATAAAATAAGTGTATTTTATCACTCTTCAACTCTTCATTTGGTTAAAGTAAATAATACATAATTAAAACTCATGAAATATATACAGAATCGAGTGTTAAGTAACAGAATATAGTGTGTCCTGTGCAGAGTATATGTCTTTTATGTCACCTATAGGAACTAACATGGTACAATATCTCACACATAATATGTATTTAATAATATATTCAATAATTCGTTCAATAATAAACTAATAATGGTAAAATAATGGCACTTCTAGAAGAGAGGTACTCAATCAGGCATGATTTTTAGCAAATGAACATATATACACATTTAAAGCATAGGAAAACCTCAGCCTTTGTAAGACAATTCCACATGCCTCACATTTTTTACCTTTATTAATATTCCAAAAATTTAAGTGGTCCTTTATAATAATCAATTAAACTGAAAAACATGGCATTAACTAAGTACTTAAAGAAATATTTATTGATTTTAATAATCTAATTGAGCCAACTGATAACTTGAAAAACACGTACCATACACATTTTTCACTCTGAGTAGCCTGCACCAAAATCCACCAAGGCTGACAACATAGTTTAGAATGTACACATCCTAAGCTATTTCAACTGTTCAAAAGAAGTGAAAGTTACTTTATTTTGGAAAGGTAAGTAGCCCAGCAGTTTCAAAGGAGAGTTACATTTCCATCCATACTAGATAATAACAGTAAAATAATTTCACATGTATGTTTTCTGTTTTTGGATATATGCCTTTCAAAATATGCTTCCACTTTTAAAGTATACATTTTCAAAACATAAATATAAAATATGGGTATAACTTAAGTAACTGCAGTAAGCAAATTAATATATGTCATATAAGAGGATATCATGATCAAAGAGTTTATGACATAAACGTTGATTTTTTTACTTCACTCTTTTAAAATATTTATTAGTCTTAAGTTTAGTACATATTGCTCTAATTTAAATAATACCACATAGTTTAAAAATAAAATACAGATACTTTAGTGGAGTGGAATTTTTATATGTTGTGTGAAATGAATATTTGTGTATTGAGTCATGTTTCTATTGCATTTTACTCTAATTTTTTTTTCTTTAACTCTAATTTTGAAATTACTTTACCTCCACCAAAATTATACATGTGATCCTGACAAGTAATACATTGCATAGGTTAGCTTGCTAACAATTGCTTTCTGAAATATTCCCTTTTTTATAAATCTAGGTACGGTCATTCATTTAAATTTCTCAAAATTAAATATCTTTATTTGTATTTTTAGAGATACTAATAAGCTAGTACTAAACTAATAAAAGGAGAATAAGAAAACATGAAAATCAAATATTTATGGTATGTTCATTAAAATCTGTATATAATTAACTGCCATTCCACTGAGTATTCTAATTGACTTCATAGGGTTTTGATTACAAGAGAACAAACTTTCAATGTGTTGCAAGTTTCTTAGCATCATTGCTAATGGCACTATCACTTAGATAGCTAGATTAGGCAAGAAACGGTCAGTCATCCTTGAACATCTTCCTATCCCTTATGTCCCATAACCAAATTCATCACTAACTCCTGTCAGCTTTAGCTCCTAAATGTCTTCACTCCATTTCTACCATCATTATACCAGTTTGGCTTTCCATTATCTTTTGTCTGAGTACTGCAATAGGCTCCTAACTAATATGCACCCATTTGCACTCCCAAATTCATTCTTCCAAATCTTATTTGTCTTAGAATAAATACCCATATATTTGTCATGGTTTACAAGGGACCACCTGATCTGGCCCCTGTCAACCTCTTCAGCATCATATTTTACACTTTCCCCTCACCCTCCTCATGAATGCTTCAGCGGCATGGTCTACTTCCAGTTCCTTAAACTCACCATTCTCTCTCTTCTGCTGTGAAAACTTCCTTGCATTTCCCACCTCTCCTAACACATCGCCAGTTAACTTCTTTTAAACCTTCAAAACATAACCTAAAAGATATTTCTTCTGGGAACAGGGAAGCCCTCTTGCCTACCTACCTCCCAAGACTAAGTCAGGTTCCTCTGTTATATACCCTCATAGGTAACACTGTGTAACTTCCCACCATAGCACTTATCACAGTCTATAATTATACATTTATGTTTGTGATTAGGTGAGGAGTGCTATGGCCTCCACTAGATGTGAACTCCATGAGATCAGGGACTGTATTTGCTTTTGCTTAGTATTATATTCTTAGTGACTAGCAGAGTGCCCAACATATGATTCAGTAACT